AGAGAGGCCCACGTGGTGAGGACCTGAGGCATCCAGCCAACAGTCACAAGACAGCCATCTTCAGTCAAGCCTTCAGATGACTGCAGCCCTGGCCGACATCCTGACCAGAACTCCTGAGAGTCCCTGAGCGAGACCACCCAGTTAAGCGGCTCCCAAACGTCTAGCCTGGCTTTGCTGTAGGGTAATACATGTTTGCTGTTTGAAGGAGGTAACCTCCTGACTCCACCCCCCCAGACCCTGCAGCTGAAAGGGAGCCCCCAGGTCTGACACCAGCTCATGGTTAGAGCCTCCTCGCGAGGTGAGTCCCGCACGCTGCAGAGATGCTGGCTGTCTACTCACCTTTCCAGGTCCTGCAAGTGAAGCAGCAGGTACACACTGTGGGGATGGGGGCACCATCAGTGATAGCTCCCAGTTGACAGGAACCAGCCCCAGGCAAACCGGGAGGTCCCAGGGAGGTGTGGGGATCTCAGTGTGTTCAATACAGGGGTCCCAGGAATGTGGGTCTCTGTAGAGACACCGAGGTGGGGGAGGGGATCATTCCAGATCCAGCTTCCTCTCGGGTGCTAGAAAATGACCTTGCCTGGCCCACAGACGTCAGTCCTTGTGTCCTGCAGCCCAAGGGAAGGCAGGGGGTGACGTCAAAGTTTCCTCTGAGAAATAACTCCAACTGTGCCTGCCCAGGTGCCCTCCCGCTCTCTGTCTCCCAGTTCAGAATGACCTGCAGGAAACTGACCGCTGAACCCTCAAAGTGCTAATCGGCTGCTACCTTACACAGTCCATTGGTCTTGGTGCACATCTGGGCCTTGGTATACAGTAGGTGCTCACTAAATACAGGCTGTCTCCAAGTTCATGGAAGGCAAGGATCATTTTTTCAACTCCCTTGTACCCTGCCTGGGGTTCAGTGCCAGACTTTCAATAAATGGTGTCTGACAAAATGCCTCCCAGTCCATTCTGTAGGGTGGGCGATGCAAACTGCATAGTGTTATTTTACACCAATGGGCCTATATTTTTATTTTACATAAACTGTTACATAGTATCTTATTCCGTTTTGTACTTTTTTCACTAGGCCTCGTGTTTTCAAACTCTACCTATACGTACACTGAAACTGTTGCTTCCAACGCTGCACACAACTCCACGGGGGGCAGCCACCGCGTCTTGCCCATCCTCTCCCCAGCCTGCCTGCAACAGGTGCCACCTGCCAGGGCCTGCAAATAAGCCCTGTGACTTGTGACTGCTCTCCTCACAAGCCTAAGATGTAGGAGGGACAGGGATTCTTGTGCCTTTTCTCCAGAGGAAACCTGAAGGGAATTGAGCTCGTTTTCTGGGCCAAGGTCAAATCCTCTGATAGCAGCCGCCTGGGGTGTCACTCTGAGGAAGGTTCTGAGGCTGAATCTAGGCCCAGAGGGAACAAGTGTGGTGACTGCTTGTTGACGTCTGCCTCGCTGTGTTGCATTTACCGTCTCTGCACAGGCCCAGGGTCACTCAGCCAGGATGGAAGCCCAGACTGGGGGCCGTTTCCCCGACCCGACCATGCCTGGCGTCCGAGGCTGGGCGCTGGGAGGGCACACAGAGCTGGGCCTCCTTTGGCTGACTCCCTCCCAGGCACCCGGACCCTCCACTCTGGGGTTATGACAGCCCCAGAGCCTCTGATCTGGGTGCCTTTGCCCCACGCCCAGACCCTGGGCCATCTTTCACTGGTCTTTCTTTCTGAGATGACTTTTATTTTAGGCCCAGAACAGCCAGGGCGAGGGCCAATGGTCCCTGCCCTCCCTGCTAGGTCAGCACCTCCCTTGCCGGCCCCCTGAAATCACAGGCGCCACGGCCAAGGGCAGGCAGTGAGGAGAGCAGGTCGTGTGGCAGCACAGCAGGCTCTCTGGTTCTCTGCAAACTCCACCTGCTTGGCCTGCACACCTGCAATCAGAGCGCTGCCCCTGCCCCACGGGGTATAGCAGAGGACGGAGGGCAGCAGGGTCAGAACCAAACAAATCAGCTCAAATCCGCTTCCGTCTAGTGATTGACTGGGAAGATGTTCAAAGCCCAGGGGATGCCTCCCATCACCTTTTTTTTTTTTTTTTTCCATATTTAAGTATAGTTGACTTACAATATTATATTAGTTTCAGGTGTACAGGTGCAGTAATTCAATATTTTTATAGATCATACTCCGTATACAGATACTATAAATAATAATGGCTATATTCCTGTGCTGTGCATTGCATCCTTGCAGCCTATTTATTTGATATCTGGTAGTTTGTAGCTCTTAATCCCCTCCAACCATTTTACCCCTCCCCGGCCACCACTCTCCCCTCTGGCAACCACCGGTCTGTTCTCAGTATGTCTGAGTCTGTTTCTGTTTTGTTATATTCATTTGTTTGTTTCATTTTTTAGATTCCACATATAAATGAAAACATACAGTATTTGTCTTTCTCTGTCTGACTTATTTCACTAAGCATAATACCCTCAGGTCCATCCATGTTGTCACAAATGGCAAAATTTCATTCCTTTTTATGGCTGAGTAATATCCATCACCTTTTAGATCCTACCAGACCTCTCTCTTTCCTAGTTCTGAAGCTGCCACGAATAATCCACCAAGGGGAGGTGTAGGCAGGAGGCCTGGATTCCAGTCCTGTGTGTCCTTGGCACAGTGTGTGACCTCTCTGAGCCTACTTCCTCTGCTTCGTTCACCTCTATAATGACAATATAGACTCTAAGAGGGAAAGGGACTGTAGGGCCACCTAGGCCCACTTCCTAGCCAAAGCAGGAATCCCTCCCTAGAGCTTTGGTATATGACTATTTGACTTTGGTTTGGGCCCTTCCGATGTCAGGAATCTCACTACCTCACAAGGCAGCCCATTTCTGTCCTGGATACTTTCATATTATAAAGTGCTTTCGTAGGTGAGTTAGATATCAACAAGAAGAACAAAAATAGCAGCAGCTACGACCTCGAGTGCCAGGCATGACCCTAAGCACCTTTACATGGATTATTTTGGTTGAATCCTCACGACAACCCTACAAACGGGGCTTGTCATTCCCTGTGTTTAGATAAAGAATCTGCGGTGCAGAGGGGATAAACAGCTTGCCCAGGCCACACAGCTGGTAAGTGGCTACCCCCTTGGAACTTGACCCCACTGGTTCTAGCTCTGCCCACTGAGCCTCAGAGAATTGGGGCCCTTTTTCTTCCAATGACAGCTTTCATTTGAGGCTTCGTAGCCGGTAAGCTGACCGAGGGTGGAGGCGATATCTAATTGCATTTCACATCCCTATTTCTGCGACAGTGCCCAGGAGGTCAGAAGCTGTAGGTGCTCAAGGAAACCTGATGGCCAGCAGGTGAGTGGAGAGAAGGCACTGGCCTAGGAGTCAGGGGGCCACAGGAGAATGCCACCAGCGGGCAACCCTGGTGACAGCTCCCTTCCCTGGGCCTTTGTCTCTTCATTGGCAAAATCAGAGGATTAGACTGAGTGATCCCCAAGGTCCCCTCCTGCCTGGCCTTTTGGGATTCCATGCTAAGTTCCCCTGGCACAGGGACAGGGTTCCCCTACCTGAGGTAGACCTCACCCCCATGGCCAAGCCTCCACCTCCTCAGCCCTGCTAGGGTTAAAATCTCTCCCTTCCAAGAGAAAAGCCACATTCTTCAATCCTGGGGCCGGGGGTGGGGGGGGGGGGGCGGGAATGGGTAGAGAGGCCATTCCTGAGAGGGTTGGAACCTGGCAGACGCTGGGCCGGGCCCTGAGCCGTTCTCCTATCCCTGGAGGGGAGCATGGGTTGTCATTCCCAGCGCAGTGGTGAGGCTCCCTCTTTCCCATCCATGTCTTAGACCCTCAAGTCAGGTGGGGCCTGGAAGGACCCCAGGCGCAGGACTGAGATGCCCCTGTAGGCTGCACCTCACAGCACACAGTCTAGGTCTAGGTGGCCTGGAGGTCCCTGTTTATACATTTAAGGGCAGGCTAACCACCTGCACACGTCACAGCCAGAGATTCCAATAGTGGCTCAATTTCAGCCCCCAGGCTCAATTTCCCAGCAAGGTGGAGGGGCAGAGGTGATGATCCAGAACGATCCCCTGCAGCCCCTTCCCCATCAACCTTCTGCTGGCAGCAGCAGTGCTCGGCTCCCAAAAGCCAAGCCCCTGTAATCTTCCCAAGGAACAGCCTGGGAAACCCTGAGTCCTGGTCCAACTCCATAGCCCTCTAATCCCGGCCCCTACCTTCCACAAGCCCGAAACCCACTGAGGGATCAGACGTCAGTGGGTCCCAAATGTGGCTGCAACCTCGACAGCATCACATACCAGGGGCTCACCCTAGACCTACTGAATCCCCTGGTGGGGGGGCCCGGGACTCTGCACTTTTCAACAAAGTTCCAGGCCAGTCCTGGCCCAGGTACCCCTCTTACCAGGGGTAGACATCGAGGTAGAGGTGTGGTTTCCGTAAAGCCCTGGCCTCCACAGGAATTAGACCTCAGAGCTAGTGTGGCGTTTGCATGTGGTGGCCGAGGTTATGCATGGGGCATGGTGGCTCAGGGAGGGGAGGAGATGGTAAGAGTGAGAGAGACAACAGGAAATACCTGCAGGGAAAAGGGACACCGTGCTGTAAGCCCTGGCTGGGTGGGAGGAGGCACTCAGGTGCTCACGACAGGTAAGCCCTCCTGGGAGTGCGGGGTCAGAGAAGAACACAGAGAAAGCTGCCTTGGCCCAGCTCCAGCTGGGCCTGTCGCCTCTAGGCTTGGTCCAGGTACTACTACTCAACCCCCGCCAACCCCCAGATAACCAGATGAAGGAGATGGGGCCCTTTGGTGCAGGTGACCTAACCCTGCCCCCGATCAGAGTCCCCAAGGCCAGCCCTCTGTCCTGGCCCAAGTGGTGCTCTGCCCCTTGGCTGGCCTGGCACAGTCTGATGGACGTCTGTATGGGTGGCAAGTCCTTGGGGCAAGGGCCCTAAGGGGGCCTGGGTCTCTCTCCACGAAAGCAAGGCCTACGAGGTGGAAAAGAGTGGAAGGGAAGTGACACCTACCTGAGCTGCCAGCGCTCTCAGAAGCACTCCTGGACATCTTAGGCTGGCCATGTTTGCCGCTGGCCCGCCCGGGCCCCGGTGGCGGGGGGCCTGAGGGAGCAGGGGCGCCGTCTCCCCTGATGGTAGAGAGGTCCTGCATGCTGAAGCTCCGGAGTCTCTCTGATAAGGCACCCTGTCCCTGGACACAACACAGGACGGGGCACACGTCAGAGGCCTGCCCCACAGACCAGGGCAGCTGTGGCGGGCGAATGCAACCGAGGCCAAGAGGGGGGCTCTGACGGTCAGCAAGGTGGAGGCCAGTTCCCTGAAACAGAGGGGCAGCTGCCTGGTGTACTTGCAGGGAACACTGAGGGGGTCCAGGCCCAGAATGTTCTAGGGCCTTCTGTGGGCTCAGGAATTGTTCTTCGGGCTCCAGGCTCTTTCCTCTCCTTCAGACGCCCCCCGCGATAAGCCAGAGCCTCAGCCAGACTCAGGGCCGAGGAAACGACTGCTGCCTTCGGTTCCTACTCTCCAGGGCTTGTCTGCGGCTTCTCAGGCTTTACATAAATAAAAATCCTTATAGAGCTACATTTTGCTCAGTTCCCAGGACACAAGAATCTGGCTAGAATATCAGAACTTAATAATCTATGTGCTCAGTCCTTACTCTTTTCAAAGGAAATAAAATGCAGACAGTATTTTTTAAATGTATGACAACAGCCATTTCTTTTATCTGTTCACATGACTGTTCATGAGTCACAATGACTGCCACTGTCACATCTGAGCTTCATAAAATACCCAAAGGTAATGAATCCGGAAGGAAAAAGCTGATATTAAAAAAAGACACACACGCAACAAAACACTGTTGACCGTAACCATTTCTTATTCTCAAGGAGCCACAGAAGCTGTCTCAGGGGGAAACTGTTCTTTTGTTTAGGGAAGGAGGCAAGATCAATCCATTATACTTATGAAAGGGAAGGGCCTCGCTGTCTGGATGAGAGAATCTGTCAAAGTGAAAGGATTGTAAGTAAGGCTCAGGGAATGACAGCATTGCTTTAGGTGCGCCTCAGGGGCTGGAGGGGGAGACTCGTGTTTGGGGGAGAAGGAAACCCGAGGGCGGAGGGGCTGGTAAGGAGACGCGGATTATTGAGAACTGGGCTGGGATTTGGAGCAAGAGGTGACAGGCAAGTAGCCACTAGGCAAATTGATAAACTTGGGTATCTTCAGAAACACTCATGGGCATGCAGACTTCCCATAGGTACATGGGATGCATGGAGGAAAGAGTAGTCCTAGAGGGCTAGAGGATGTGGGGACCATAGGCACCGCAGATAGAACAGAACCAACAAATCAGCACAAAATCAGCGAGAGCAGCTAACAAGGGCTCTGGGCTGGGGGGTGGGATTGATGAAACCAACAAGGGCCGTGACAGCATTACTTAAGAGGTTATCAGAGATGGCAGAAGGGTTTGGAGATTTTTTTCACTTTACTTAAATAGTAATGAAAATGAGCCAACAAAGCACAGTAATTCACTGAAGTAACTTTAGCAAAAGAGTCAGTTAGCTAAAGGAGCAAACGCAGAATGAGTTCATTAGAGGCAACGGGGGAAGACAAAGGAGCTTGCAGACAGTTTTCGAGAAAATGTCAGAATGAAACAAAGATGCATTAAAATAGAAAATGATAAGTTCTCAACCTGCCAAAGATATTAAAAAATCCATGCCTCCAGGAAACTAACAACGGCAGAAAGAAAACTATTTAAATAATCAAATATATATACAGGACTTCCCTGGTGGCACAGTGGTTAAGAATCCATCTGCCAGTGCAGGGGACACGGGTTCGATCCCTGGTCCGGGAAGATCCCACGTGTCGCGGAGCAACTAAGCCTGTGTGCCACAACTACTGAGCCCACACGCCACAACTACTGAAGCCTGTGCGCCCTAGAGCCCACGTGCCGCAACTACTGAGCCTGCGTGCTGCAACAACTGAAGCCCGTGCGCCTAGAGCCTGTGCTCCGCAACAAGAGAAGCCGCCGCAATGAGAAGCCCGTGCACCGCAACGAAGAGTAGCCCCTGCTCGCCGCAGCTAGAGAAAGCCCACATGCAGCAACAAAGACACAACGCAGCCAAAAATAAAAATAAATTTAAAAATAAATAAATAAAATTAAATTAAAAATATATACAGGGGCTTCCCTGGTGGCGCAGTGCTTGAGAGTCCGCCTGCCGATGCAGGAGACGCGGGTTCGTGCCCTGTTTCGGGAAGATCCCACATGCCGCGGAGCGGCTGGGCCCGTGAGCCATGGCCACTGAGCCTGCGCGTCCGGAGCCTGTGCTCCGCAAATGGGAGAGGCCACGGCAGTGAGAGGCCCGCATAACGCAAGGAAAAAAAAAATATATATATATATACAGCTAGAATTCTAAATCCAGGCAAAGGCGTGTTTGGAGGGCATTATGTGAGAAAGGCAGAAATCTCCCGGGCTGCCTCAGATACAGCTCCTGAACGATGGTGGGCGAGGGGTTTGAGGCTTCACCTTCTAGACGTAACAGCTGGATGGTCTCTGCCAAGAAAATGAGGGGGGAGACCCGCTCCCCAGTATAATCCCCTCCAAATCCATCAGCCAATGACCCATGATTATTCTACTCAGAAACATTCAAGATGACATCTAGGAACTTCCCTGGTGGTCCAGTGATTAAGATTCCATGCTTCCACTACAGGGGGCACTGGTTCAATCCCTGGTCGGGGAACTAAGATCCCACATGCTGCGGGGGGCAGCCAAAAAAAAAAAAAAAAAAAAAAAAGGATCACTTCTGGGAAAAAAACTAGGAGGGGCTTCATGATTCTAAGTCCAAATAAATGGTGGCAGACTAACTCCTTCCCTGGGTCTGCCAGCTCTTACAAAGGCTCAGCAATGTATCTGAGGAAAAGAGGCAGCAGGCATCACACATGTCCATGACCATTTCAGCAAAGCACTCAGTTCCAGTCCCAGAAGCCAGCTGGCCTGCTCCAGTATCACTATAGCACCATGAAGACTGGAAGTGGCAGAGGTTAGAAAAGAAAAGGAGATAATAATAGCTCAGTATCGACTGAGTCCTGTCTCAGAAGAAACCACCGCAGCATGGATACAGGCTCTTGAAAACAAATTAGCCCGTACCCATCAAAACAATCTGAGATGGTTCAAATCAATATAGCCCTTTCAGCTGTAAACCTCTCAGCCCTGCTCAGTCTCTACTCCAAACCTCATCTCCATTCACTTTCCACAGACCTTATTCCACCGGCCAATTCAGCCCTGATCTGAGAACCTTCGTTTTCTTATTCTGGGAACAGGCAAGAGTGGTTCTCTGGTATTCTGCAAAACTGGGTTCCTTATTTTTGGGAAAATAAATTTGGACTCTCTAAATTTGGAAAAGCTTAAAAACATATTCTATAATTCAATGAGCCATGTATTAAAAGCTTTGAGAAGTCGTAGTGTTTTGGGTTGTTTGACTCAGCATATCCCAGATGTATCTGACCACAGTGGGATAGACTGTTAGTTGACCATCCAAAAGTCATTCCCAATTCCGTTCTCGAAATGGTGAGAAAAAAACCAGTTTTCCCAAACTCCCTCCTAGCTATTATGCATGGCCATGTGATGCAGTTCTGGCCAATGGGAGGTAAGGGGAAATCTGCTAAGGGATTTCTGGGAAAGATATTTTCTCTCTCACACATGCAGAAGGAGAAAGGCCTGACGCTGCTCCCTGCTTTCTGCCTTTGAGTGTGGGAACTGCCACCTTGCGACAAGGAGACTCACAGAGACATCCACCCGGAGCCTTGGCATCACTAAGTCACTAGAATACCGACAGTGTCCATTTACTCCTAGACTTCTCGTGGATAATTATCATCAATTACAAGACACACATTTTTTCACCTCTGAAAACTGGGGAGGGTCTTACGATTGCTGTTGCCTTGTCTTTGTTGTCACTGCCTACACATGAATGCACTTAGTTGTTATTCCCAAAGGCATGACCAGACAATGGAAACTCCTGACTGTTCACTGTTAACAAACCATTTAAGACCCAGTTGGGACTTCCCTGGTGGCACAGTGGTTAAGAATCTACCTTCCAATGGAGGGGATACGAACTTGATCCCTGGTTGGGGAACTAAGATCCCACATGCCACGGGGCAGCCGAGCCCACGTGCACTCTAGAGCCCAGCCTCATGGGACCAGAAAGGAACACATCCACAGCCTTCCATGAAAACTAATCTCCTACTTGTATTGTCATACTTTGACCTCTTTATTCCCCCCAGTATTATAAGCAGGGTCTACCCAGTTTTGATGTGGCTGCTTGTTTACATGCTGTTTGTTTTAACAGACTCACCTTCCTTCTTTCTGGGCACGTCAACAACATATGGCCCAGTGGCTCTCTCAGCTGGGCTCCTACAGCCCCAGAAATCCCACAGAAGTATCTTGGGGGCAAGGGAGGGGAATTTATTCCTGATTACTTTAATCTTTTCTTTTTCCTGCCTAAAACTCTTAGAAAATTGGACTTTAAGAAGTAAACTGTGGGGACTTCCCTGGTGGCACAGTGGTCAAGAATCCGCCTGCCAATGCGGAGGACATGGGTTCGAGCCCTGATCCGGGAAGATCCCACATGCAGCAGAGCAACTAAGCCCATGCACCACAACTACTGAGCCTGCGCTCCAGCGCCTGCGTGCCGCAACTACTGAGCCCACGTGCTGCAACTACTGAAGCCCATGCACTTAGAGCCTGTGCTCTGCAACAAGAGAAGCCACCACACGAGAAGCCCACGCACCGCCACGAAGAGCAGCCCCTGCTCACCGCAACCAGAGAAAGCCTGTGTGCAAGAACAAAGACCCAATGCAGCCAAAAATAAATAAATAAAAGTAAATTTAAAAAAGTAAACTGTGTCACAGAATTTTCTATTAATCTGAGATCTTTTTTGTATTTCAATTTTAATTTTATTGATGCAGTTTTTCATTTGTATTTAATTACTACATTTTTCTAATTTTATAGATGGATTCAAGATATAAACCTTAGGGACTTATATGTACTTTTATGTACATATTTATATGTATATGTACTGTAAATTTTTTTTTAATTTTTACAATTAATTTTTATTGGTTTACAACATTGATTTACAATGTTGTGAATCTGAGAACTTTAATTCCTCATCCTTCCCCCAGTTTGTAAGGAATAAGAAATCCATGTAG